CTTTAATTTTTTTATATTTTAAATATAATTTTTTAACTTTTTTAAGCTTTTTTAATATATTATAATTAATTTTTTAAATTAGTTTTTATTTAAAACTAAATTATTTAAACAAAAAAATAAATAATAATACTATTTTATTTTAAAAAAATAATAAATTATAATAAAATAGCTAAAAAAATATATTTTTTTAATTTTTATTATAAATTTAAACAATTTAACTAAAATAATAGCTTTTTAAAAACTAATATATTAAATAGCTAAATTAAACTATAATATAGCTAATAATAATAATAGTTTATTATATAATAAAAAAAATTATATAATATTTATTAACAAAGAGCTTTATTTTATTATAGTTTAGGTATCTTTGGCTGCATTAGGGCCGGTCTGAATTTGCAAAGGTATGGCGGTACATTCTTATGTACTTAGGTATCATCTACTATCTAACTTAGATGAAGTCGATATGAGACTCTTGAAAGTCACGCAATGTAGTATGGCTTCTACCCGTGCCATCAGGAGTTATTGTCAGGGCTGGCCAAACATACTTCGCTGTCGGCTAGCAACCGCATTCCATACTCCCACTGCCATAGCCACTAACCTACGTAGATCCCGGCTCCTCACCCTGAAAATTAAGTAGACATTCTAGCTCCTATCGCTTATTACACTGGCCGCACTACGCCCAACATATCTAATACTGACCGACAAAGTGGCCTGATTGATGTCGCTGCGGCTTATAGCTTTTTGGCGTTGTCTATCTCTATGGCAATGTCTCTTATCTGCACTAATCTTGGTAGGAGCCGCTACAACGCTGTAAATGACCTCTCTCCCTCTCTCACTTTCTTGCTAGGCGGTATTGACGTCCCGTTCCTTGCCGATATCTTCGATTACGTGGATGCTCATACACATGGAGATTATGTTTCAAACTACCTAGGTACCTACTTATACACTCGAGCAAATAGGGAAAGTGTAATAGCCGGGCTTAAAAAGGCAACCTGCTTAGAGCGACCTTCTCTTCGAATAGCTTAATTGAGTGTGTAATTCTCCTTTGAAACACTCCGAAAGCTGTAATAACAAGCGACTTCATAAATTTCTCTAAAACCAAGGTATCTATCGTATCTAACATGTTAGATAAGGCTATACCGAAAGGCTCATGCGAGCTCCTGACAATCATAGTGCTTGGTATAACCCATTCCCAAGCCTCCCGGAATCTGCGTGTCTGGACGATGGCTCAGGGTGGTAGGTAACAGCCCATTTGTAGTTGCAGCGTTAGGGCTCCTCGTTTGACCGACCCGTGCAGCATTACTAGAAGTCTTGCAATACTGTGCTTTTATACAAACATCGATAGTTTCCTCATGAAGTTTTACGGCAAGTATTAGGGCTGAGGGATTATGATTCATAGAACAGCGCGCAACATATGATTGCTAGGTACTTAGGATTCGAGATCCCAGGATGTCATCCATACTATCGCCGGATGCCTTGGCGGGTAAGCAAGTCATAGAGAAGGTGCGTCAATAGACTCTTATATTTTGCTGTTAGCAAGGATGTATTTCATTACTGTAGGAATCCACGATCATGTGCGGCGGCCTTAATGAAACGAAAGGGGTTCACATATTTCCCTCGTTATTTTCTTATTTCTGCGTGGTGGCTGATAGTCATGGCTGCTGTTTCACACTCATGAGTATTGCCATAGACATACATTACCTACATCTCAACTGTACGTTTCAATCATATTCAATTTCTATCAGGGTACTCTTACTAATTAACATCCAAAGGTCTCTGCTAGATAACGAACGTACGATATGGACAAGAAAGTGTGATGAAGGATGAAGCCGGTCACGTGGATTAGAGAGCCGACGTGGCCGACAACATCTTTTGGTATGTCTCGGCGATTTGTCCATCGCATCTCCTGATGGCACAGTTGGTAGCGCGTTGGACTGTAATTGAAATTACCATCTTGGAGATCCACAGGTCGTGTGTTCGAATCACACTCAGGAGAGATGCTTCATTTTTGTTGATTTTATTGGGGTTTATTACTACTATTTATTTTAGTCGGGCGGAGGTGTTTTAGTGGGAAACATCTTCTGTGTATATGCATGGATGCGTGTGGCGCATTAGGTAACTAGTTCACAATATTTTCCACGCGAACGAGACTACTAGTAGTTATTCACTTATTGACCGGCCCCTTGGGCTTAGTGTGGGTAGAAGAAACCAGATCATATCGGCATAAACAAACCGAGATCGATCAGCATAAAGATCAGCATAAAGCAGGGGCTACAGTGGTACGTCGTGTCCGCACGGTCATCTCGAGAAGAGGAATGCCTGGGCACCTGTCAAGATCGTCCGGGATGTGGATCCACGATGTATGTTATTGTATGATACCGGATTTTCGGATTTACTCGAAAGAAATGCCCGATCCGCGGGGTGGTGAGATTCTTATGCGACGTAATCTTGTGGCGTTTATGATAACGTGGTTGTGCAGAATGATTATGATTCGAGTGAGAATGTCTAGACGACGAACGCAGCTTTAGTAAAGGCGTATGCTGCCGCCTGTCGAATAGAGAGTCTTTGCCTCTTGTTTGCGAAGCCACTGCTGACTACATGGAAGTAGATCTAGCCGTTGAGCAGCTTCACCGTACCTTTTGCCCTTGCAGCGACGGCTTTGGTGTGCTGCAACGAGCTTGAGCTTCTCTCTAATCTCTATTAGTTAGGTATAAACCCCATGCCCAGCGAGAATCCTCCCCGTTGACCGCCAACTTGCTCATGCATCAAAGAGGTTAAGCAAGTTGCGTTTAATTACCAATGATCGCATTGTATTTCATACATTCCAGATATCCGGAGCACTAGCTGCCAAGAATACCACCCTACAGCACTCGCGGCTAGCCTGGCCGAGAGTTTCGTTCGGTGCCTGTTCCTAATCGGAATACTAGGCTATGCCAACCCGCTAGGTACCGAGAATTAGTGGCCGCACGGGACATCCGACAGCAAGACTGATATAGTTATTTGAGTAGTTAGTCCAGATATTCCAACACTATCTAGCCTCGCAACGGTTCCAATAAAGGCCTGTCTCGGATAGGTATACGTCGACACGTAAAATATAAGGTTTACAATCCTAGCGTCTAGGTTACAGTGCCTGGGTGATCTCTAATGCACAACCGGCACAGAGCCGGCAGTGCCCTGCTACCCCGGACACAGAACCTAGATTTGAACGATATGAATGGCTAGGTCCTGTATGCCGCATTGGTTGGTGATTGGCCTGGAGAAGGTCCTGCAGATGGAGCCAATCCAGATAAGTATTAGTTGCCTGTTTGAGCCCTGCTTGATCCCTCTCTGGCACTTGGTTGGGTTGGATCTTGACGAGCGGGATGCCACCACATGGGCATACCTACACAAACTTGAAGGCTCGTACGAAAAGCTCGGCTGACTTGAGAACTTAACTTTCGTTCTTAGCTAATCGGACACATTCGGCGCTAGAAACTTGGTACTTATTATCTTCTACTTCAATTTTGGCTTTATGATTTACTGTAGGCTTTCCCAATTTTCACAAGATAGCAACTCGGACTTAACACACAAGCGGACTTACGATATGCATGTGTGTAAGTGTCTCTTGGCGTGGCAGACGAAAGAAAGAGAATATCCCGAGATAGGCGCCCAGCCGGCCCGGGAACTTTCCTAAACGAAGCGGTCATCGAAGTCTTTCCATCGGCCTTCCTGTTGACCTCCCTTTTATCACATATAGTATGAGCCAGGTTGTCTTAGTGCTCACTCGAAAGGCATAGAACCGATTCACTGCGTCAACGCGGCACAGTCGAAGCTCTTCTGGTCAGCATCAATGGATACGGCGAGTAAGCATACTTACCTAATATCGTAATGATGGGATTGAGGTAGCGAAAGAGTTTTCGAACAGATGATAGACTGAAGATTATTTAAAATATGACTACTGCTCTTCGTTGGGTGCTATTCAAATAAGCAGAGAGTTGCTTATCCCTGTTTTGTTAGTGACTCAGAAGATACGATGATAGCCCTAGCGAGATTGTGTCTTCTACTCTCTAGTGCGGCCGTTTCAGTCTCTTCGGCGCCCACAAAGAGTGGTAGTGACTTGTTTACCCTACCCAATGCCGACCCTAACTATAAGGCGAGGGCCGCTACCATCGAGGCGAAACGGAAAGGCTGGCTGTACAAAGAATACCCGATTGGCGGCGCTTTCTATCCTACCGGGACACTTGCCAATCAGACAATATCACAACAGCAAGCCCAATGGTTCCCTATCGTAGTAGAACATGCCCAAGTCATTGCAAAAGAGTCGGTGTCTGCCTTAGCGGGCATCATTGCGGTAGGCAAGCTCAACCCGGTGACTAACTCTGCTAACTAAAGACAATAGGCAGGCAACTTCTCAACATTAGACGACTACGCGAACACGTATAAGAACCAATGGAACATGTCCCTTCCTCGCGGGCCAATGACGGGAATGCTAACGAACTACACGGACGACCGGTTGTTTTCAATGATGAGGCTGGTGAGAGAGAACCAATCCTACCCTTTTCCCGTCCCTAGACCCTAACGCGTTCGAGGCCATTGTGGTTTCGTGCCGGGAATTACTTCTAACTTTGAAAACTGTGCTTAGTCTGCGACGCCATACAAGATACAGCGTGTTCAACGTCATGATGCTTTGCTTTTCCCTGTTGATAATGCTGCTTCAATCACGGGCGGTCTTTCTCTCACGGATCTCCGTGATCAAGGCCGTCTCTTCTCGACGGACTTCAGTAACTTAAAGGTATATGAAAAAGCATGTTCTGCTTTTCCTAGTCTTCGTTTCTTGTCCTATTGGCCTTATTAAAGACTAACTTGTTGTAGTAAGTGATTCTCTAGACATCGTATCTCCGTGAGACACGGTTGGCATTGATCCGATACTGTAAACACGAACGCCTTATTCCCAACACATATTAACACGTCGTAGGTCAGTACCCTAAAGTCTTCTATGCCTCATCCAACACGCCTCGAGAACGAGTGCTGCCTAATCAAGGGCCTTGCTCTCTACCCCCGATAGCCCTATTACCCCTGAAAGCTCTCGGGACCCTTCATGACCGCGACTTCATGATAGAATGCCATTACTGACCCCAAGTCGTAAAATAGGGATTTACCTTCGAGTGGAAAGTACGGAGCCGGGTGCCAGGCCTACTTCTACATAGACCGGTCGGGCGACTTCCTCCCGCTAGCCGTGAAACCGATCGTCAAGGATAGGGAGAGCTCAGCTCTTGTCTACACGCCGCAAGATGAGCCTGCAGATTGGTTACTTGCTAAAATGCTTCTGAATCAGAATGATGGCTACCACTCAACTTGGGCGCATGTGGGCCAGTCGCATTCGGCTGCAGAGGCCCCCTATCTTGCTGCGATTCGGAGTCTTAGCAACGACCACCCAGTCATGGCTATTCTTAATAGGAGTGCGTCTTGCCCTTTTGCTTCACTACTATATAGCAGCATTTCTGACGATGACCGAACAGTTGAGAAAACTCCTTGGGGCGTTCGTCCCAATCTGGAGAATGGCCTCGAAACGGGAACGGCGTTCACTGGTCCCCAATACTATCCATGGTCTCCCGACGCCGCCCGCGACTACGTGAATCAGTTATACCTATCTGGTGAATCGGCTTCTTTCCAAGGGAACTACTATCGCTCGAACTTCAAGAAACGCGGCTTGGTCGACAGCTCCTTCGGGCCCAAGCTAAAGTCATTCCCATTCTACGAAGACACGAGCGTCGTTACTGAGTCTATCCGCGAATTCATGAATACATTCATCAACTCGTACTACCCCAGCGACAAGGCGGTAGCTAGCGATATAGAATTGCAGGCCTGGCATCGCGAGACTCGGGCGGCGCGGGTCTATGACTTCCCCGCCATCCAGAGCAGGCAATCCATCGCCGATATTCTTACGCACCAGGCATATCTTAGTGTTATCGTGAGCAACGTCATGAGTACGAACGGCATCCATCTGAACTCGATGTCCCTTCCATTCGCCCCGGCCGGGTTCCTGCAACCGATCCCGTCTGAAAAGGGGCTTACGGAGAAGGACCTGAGTATGTAACCCTGAACCCCAAAACCCCCCTTCTGCTTTCAGAGCACCTCGGTAATGAGTCGGGGGTTCGGCATAAACGTTCCTTTCTAACGTACGACTCTTTCATTTAGTGGCCTTCATGCCGACACCAGAAGGTGCTGTCTGGCAGGTCTCGACGTACGTCGTCGGACATCGTCCCATGTGGCGCGACACCAACGAGACGCTGTCGCATCTCTTCGACAGCGACGACCTGCTCGCGAAAACGAATGCTAAGACGCAGGCTGCTGCCGCTAAGTTCAAGGCTGCCATGATGGACTTCAGTGTTGAGGTCCGCGCGCGTACGTTTGATGAAAACGGCCTGAATCGGGGGATGCCTTTTTTGTTTGACGCGTTGGATCCTAACTACGCACCATATTGGAGTGTTATCTAGGAAATATGGGAATTCCTGCAACGTGATCTTAGTGGCGGTTATGGGGAGGGTAGGGGAAGGGGTGATAGAATGATCCGGGTAACACGTGGAACCTAGGGTCGCACACCGTACAGTCTTTACAGTGAGGGTGGAAATATCATATCAAGATACCTAGAAACTATATTGTGTAAGGCTAGAGCTGCTTTACGTGTGTACAGGGTGTTAGTTATGTTTATGCAAAAACACGATAGCTGCTTCTAATAGCGGCAGGCTTGTATCCGATAAAGCTGTTCTTGTCAATGTCAAAGGGTGTGAACGAAGGTGTCGTCCTGGGTTTCCTCTATTGGAAGGGCGTGTTACATGGCAAGGGGAAGGGAATCATATTGTGGCGGTAAAGATAAGTGTAGAACTCAATAGTGCAGGCCATTAACCTCTGAACCCCCTTAAAGATCCCATAAGGAGTTCTAGGCTTCCTCGGTCGGGCAGTGATGTTAGTAGGCAAAATGCCGACTTCATAGTAAGTCTAATAGTCTAGAGTGCA